CAAAGAATACCACTGTTGGGCTCAAGCGGGGAAGTCAACTGATTGTTTAACCTTTGGCATCGCCCGACTTTGCCCGCAGCCTAGGAGCGTGCTCGTTTCTTCCTTGAAGGTGCACATCAATCACGTTTCACGGCCTTGAGATGATGATATTTAACTGCAAGCATAAATTTGTTGCGAGGCAAGAATGGAAGTCCGTGCAGAATGCTGTCCTGATTTCAATATTGTTTGATGACACATTTCCTTAATATCTATTTAAAAGGAACTTTAGAGAAAGGGACGGAGCTTCATTGAGTAAAGGCGCTACCACAAATCACAGCGTAAATCCCCATCCAAAGTTGAATGAAACCCATAAAACCTCTCCTTCCTCTCAGTCTCACTGGGCTACAGACAGTCGGAGCGTCACGACTTAAAATCCTGTTCAGGAGAAGCAAAATTGTGAGGTCAGTGTATCTGCATCCCCAGCTGCCGCGTGGCTCGTGAGCCCCGTGTCCCACTGTGCTGGGCACCTCCATGGACCGTGCAAAGGCACGGGCCTGCCTTCAAAACCTTTGATATCTGAAGAAACACTAAGACAATTTTTAGTATAAATATGTAAAACCGTAGTTCACCAAAACTACAGTAATAGTCCACTCTCTGATGGCTGTGAAACAAGGTGGTGTATAGCACTGAATCTGAATAAAAGTTCAGTTAATTATTTTTGAATGGTAATAACAATCGATTTATTTTAAAGTACGCTATTTTTAATCAATAATTATTGACATGAAAGGTCAAACATGTCTGAAATCCCCTGCAAGCACTGTGCAACCTCTCCTCACCCTCGTTGAAAGAAATGTACTTGATGACTCCGCTTGTGTGTGTTATTAACCCATTAAGCAGGATTTAGAAAGAGCAAATATAAAATAGTGTAAACAGACCAGCTGTCACATAAACCGAATTTTAACTCGTCTGAAGACGACGCATATCCTTCCTCCATGTCTTGGTTTTCCCTTCCTCCCCCTCCATCAAAACGCGTCTTGTATCGCTATGCTACAAACAAGTTAATATTACACATCCATGGGTACTTCGACTGTTTGCAAATCTGCCTAACAGATGGGTGGCTGGGACATAAAATTGTGTCAATCAATCATCCAAGGAATCAACAGCTAGAAATGAAATTCTGCTGAACGGAAAGACCACCAAAAAATCAGCACAGCTTCGTGTATGCTCAAATTCATATTTCCCACTGCTGCAGCTCCTACTCGACGTTCCCTCTTACCAGATCTTACCTCAAGTCTATTAATTGGTATTTTCTAATAAGGTCAGTTGTGACAGATACTGGGGGAGGAAAAAAAATAATATTTGCTATAATACTAATGGAAAGTAAGTAATTACCGACAGAAAAGGAAAGAGAAAGATGTCCCAAATTAAAAGATCACTGATAGAAAAGTATGTGGCTTTTAAAAAGACAGGTTAACAATGCTTTTCAAAGCAGTCCTAAGATCTTTGTAATAATTGAGAGGTGCTGATGACAGCCAAGTTCCCTAAAACCTATTCTTGATCGCAGAAAGCATGCAGACGCTAGCTGATGTAACACTGCATTTTGGAAAATATCTATCAACAGGACAAATTTAGTGCTCTTTTTCACTTAGGTGGTTTCAGTATCTTGCATCATTTTGATCATTTCTCTTTATCAGAGCAGAATCCATCAACCAACCCCTTATAACTTTCATTTCTACAAATATGTCTACACTCTGCTATTATTGTTTCAGAAAAAAGGAACCTTGACTTAAGAAGGACAGAGGAATACTGTCGTCTGAGTACTCTCTAATATTCAGCGATCCAAGGAACTCCAATATAGGCTGTAAGCAAACGGCCCAAATAATCCCTCCGAGTGGGGAAAAAGGAAACGGGTGGTAGAAAAAGCCCAGCCAGAAGGTAAGGCCTTAGGCAACACGCTAAATCTGAGGCTGGCAGATGAGAAGGGCATATGGACAGCAGCTGCTGTAACAAGTCTATGAGTGAAAACTTCCTCCGGACCCTGAAACAGCAGCGACGGAGAAGATGCAAAGGAGAATTAAAGGAGGAGAAAAGGGGAGAGTTCCCACCCGAAGCCAAGTCCGAGTCGGGAAGATGATGTCCCTTATGTTTAATATCCGTTAGCTACATGATGTTAATACATTATTTCTGTAGTTTGAAGAACAACTTTTCCAAGCACTGATCATTGACAAGTGACAGAAAATAATGCTTTCTTTTTTTCCCCGCGGATGCATGCACGGCAATTTGCTTGACTGATCCTCAAGATCATTGCCTATGCATTATGTGCTGCAGCAGCAGCTTTCTGACATTATTTTGTTTACTAAGTGGCATTATTTTGTTTGCTAAGTACTCTTCTGGCAGGCAAATGCTCCACAAGGGAGAGGTGTTTAGCATCTCTCTCTTTACTTGACGACTTCTCTGGGAGGAGTGAGGTTACTCCCAATTCAACTGACTTCACAGAAGTTTGGAAGCCAGTTGTCCTATTCAACACCTGCAACTTAAGGCTCTCCAATAGCAGCAAGAAAAAGTAATAGTTTTATTATGTATAAATTCTTATTATCAGACTCATCCATTGCTTATGCGCAAGAGAGCTTTGTTTTATCTT